GCTCATTCAATAAGGCTTTTCCCAGTGAGTCTTGGTCATGTCTCAAGTGTCACAGCAGCCCCACTACTTTACTTTATGATTGTGGAGTCCATTACCAAAGCACAGGAGGCGGTTCAGTTTAGGTCAGCAGGTGGGTGATTGCTAATACAGACCCATATCTCAGCCTGCAAGCGCTTAAGCCGCCTAAACAGAAGAGCATGCATCGTGACTCAAGGCTCGAGGTGGGTTTCCCTGGTAATCCTGTCCTCCACACGTTAAATGCCACAGGGCTCTCTTCCTCTCCCCACCCAGCATCTGAAAATAGATCCTCGCTTGCCGTGGCTCTGATGTCATCTTAAGCGCAGGAGAATAGAGCAGCATGGATGGAACAGCTCACCCAGCCGGATTTTTTCAGCAGTACGGAGCACAAAGTACACTTCATGCACTCAGTTGCCGTGGAAACCCGTCAGCCATTAAAAGAGGATCGATATACTTTCATAATTTCTGTGTCTGTGTGTATTTTCAGGTGTATGCATCTATAACTTAAAGCTATTTTAATACATCACGTTGTGCCATATTTATATTCCTGTCAGCATGTCTATGGAATCTGGATCCTATTTTTTTTAAATATGCATGTGTCAATTTCACAGTCAGATGAGAAGATTAACATTAGTTTGGTCTGTGTGTGTGTGTGTGTGTGTGTGTGCGTGCGTGCGTGCGTGCGCGCGCGCGTGTGTGCGCGTGTGTGTGTGTGTGTGTGTGTGTGTGTGTGTGTCCAGCACAGAGATACTGTAGGTCCAGAAAACATCTGGCCTGCAGGAAGCAAGGGAAACAGGCTCACCTGGCACACACACATCAACACATTCAGAGATTTAAAGCTGTTATGTACATGTTGAACAGTAGTTTTCTTTATGTAAAGTAATATCAATGTTCAAATCTGACAACCTGACTATGAGGACAGCAGCATTCTACTTCTTCACGTGTTTGAGGAATACAACAGTTTTACCTCATGAGACGGATATCTTAGCATTTTTAATCAAAGTAGCTGGAACAATATGTTGTTGGGTGTGTTAAAAAGGGGGCACGCAAAGTTTTAGGCAAATGCTAATAGCTGTAAAAAAAAAAATGCAGTAAGCAGTTTAAAGGATCAGTGTGTAGGATTTAGTGGCATCTAGTGCTGAAGTTGCAGATTGCAACCATTTAAATACAGCTCAGCCTTCCAAATGTGTAGGAGGCACTTATACAGTGGCTGCAAAACTCACAAAAACCTCCATGGGTCATTGTTTGGTTTGTCCATTCTGGGCAACCGTAGAAACATGGCAGTACAACATGGTGAACTCCACAGAAGGGGAACCGCTCCCTCTGTAGATAAAATCGGCTCATTCTAATGTAACAAAAACACTGACTGACTCTGACTCTTATTTTTAGGTGATTATACACTAATGAAAACATAGCGTTGAATATGAATGAATTATGTTTTGTCTTTTATCAGAATGTGATAAAGAAGAAAAATGTGACAGCTTCTGGCAGACAACCACAACGCCGACTCATGCACAAATGGGATATGCGCCATGGACAGGCGACCGGTGAAACGCAGCGTTACCTGAATAAACTGACTGATTTTGAACATTGTTGGAAACATTTGAGATAATGTAAGTACACAACTCAACTACATATATAAGATAGCAATAGTGTTTATAGACATTTTAATGTGTAAATATTACATATTATATCTTTAAATCATGTAAAAAAAAAACAACTAACTTTTTTCTCTGGGTTTCAGGTGGATACAACTGGCTTTTTACCAAGTGAGTGTGACTTAACTGCTTATCTGCTCCTAAACACACTTTGCCTCTTAGTAACACAACCAACGTCCTTCATATAGCTTCACTTGATGGGAGCCAGCCAACAAGCCTACCCCTGCACATACACACCAAAGTTGCTAGAATCCAACGCTGGAATCCAAGGGCATCAGAGCCTCTCCCTCTCATTGACAAGCTGTCTGAATTAGGAAATGCTCCCACGGGCTTCAACAAAGATAAATGACGGCGCAGGAGCAGCAGCCCAGTCGGCATTGACAAACACAGGAGGGTCTCAGCCTGGAAATATGATTTATAGGCGGCAGATCATTAAGTGTATGCTGTATGACTCAAAAGAGGAGTTTTCCTTTCACTGTTTAGGTTATTTATGCGTTTCATTTTAGTGGTAGGTCTCCAATCAATTATATTAATATTCAGGACACACAGTATAACAGGAGATTCCACTCATTTGCGTCTCCAATAAAATAAGACACCAGAAAAGACATCATCAAAATCTCTGCTCGCTTTCTACCTGTCCTCTGTGAAACAATACCTCAAAAACAACATCATCATTACATACACACACACACACACACACACACACACACACACACACGTGCTTGCTCGACCGCCACCGTGACTGTCTAATTAAAGACAGAACATGTGGAAGCCCTCCAGGCTCTAAAAACACATAAACAAGAGGGTTGGCGAAACAGTAGCCTGATCTTGTTTCACATTGTCAGCCTGAGGCTAAAACACGCTGCATACCCCTCTGCTCTCTGCAAGGTGGGAAGAGAAGCTGCCACTTTGTCAGAGCTGTTGTCAGGGGCCGACGTGATGATGACAGATTGATCAAAGACAGACAGGTGAAAGTCCGAATTTCACGAGAATTGGAGCACATTTATGTATTCTTACAGTAGCACTAGTAGCAAATGTGTTTAATATCTGCAGGACGGGTCATACTGTATGTGCTTCAGTATGTAGGCTACATTTTACACTCCCAGTACACACAGAGTTCTTCATTGATGGCCAATGAGGAGCCCCAGTGGAAGGGTAAAAGTCTCACGCCTTAATGATATCTAAAAGGGGCTGCTTGTACATTTTCTCAGTCAGCTTGCAGATCTGAGCCTTCTGACCTCCTGTTTGTGAGAGGCGGCGATGAGGTCAAGGTACAGATACAATAAATACCGCAAGCAGTGCCATTGATGTCCACAATGATTTCCATAATGACTCCCAAAACAGCATTTCAGTCTGACAGATAGCTATTGACAAGCTGATCGAACAGCCTCGCTGAAGAAAGATTCCAGCGCTGAAAAAACTTCAGGACTTCATATCTCTCTGTAGATTAAATCCTGATCGACTGGTTCAAGGCCTGCTGCATTTTATTTAGAATCCTAAAGAACAGAACGTTCAGTGCTTCAAATTGGGCAGTTTATGCAAAGTTTGACTGAAGAAGGAAAGGTTGTTTCAGATCAGCGGGCAGGTGGATATTCCGTTTAAAAGTCACCTCTCATCACACAGCAATTATCACAGGTGATGACTCAATATACAGTATAACCAACATTTTAGGGGTGTAAAGATTTACCGATGCAAGTCAGAATTCAGTTTTAACCTTATAAATGCGACTACATCAGATACCTGGATGGATGTACCATGAACCGGTTGATGGTCCAATTCTAAAGTTATAAATCAGTTGACTGAACATCGTCCCACAAAGAAAAACATTTTGGGGATTCCCTGGTATTTTATAAAATATATGTATTTGAAGGTGAGCAATGTAACTTATATAGAATTAGCTTTTTTAAATTTAGAATGAAAAATAAATGTCTACATTACAATAAATGTTAAGAGCTGTATCAGATTGCATTGTATCGCATTGAGCTGTTCCATATTAAAATGCATCTTTCATAGATCGTATCATAGCCCATGTATCTAGATACAGATCAGATAGGAACGCCCCTACAACATTTATGTTCACGGCAATAGAAATTTTATACAGATGTTCATATTCTCCAGAGGCTAAAGCTGACTGACTTTAGCAATGAGTAAAATATCTGGGCTACTGGGTGCAATGGGAATGGATACATACAGTACATGCATAAAGATGCATATCTGTTACACGTTTACACATTTATATATTTAAAATGTAATATTACAAAAATATATAGCTGGTATTCTATTTTTTTAATTTTAAGTGAAACAATCTTTTGATAGGTCTTAAAACTTAAATAAAATGTAGTTCATATAAATGTGGCCTCACCTTTTTAACGAGGTGAAACATTATTATTATTATAAAAACATTATTAATAAAATGTTGAGAACACACAAGACAAAAAAAACACCTTCATTAGGCAGGTACAGTCACTAGATGCAGGCTCAAAATTAAGTTTTTTTTAGGGCAAAGCCACTTTGGCTTTTGATAAATACATTGCAGCCAAAATGTAGGCCAACAAGCCAAACACTAACCGTATGACAGTATGATAGTAATTTCAAAAATTGCACAATTTTAAACATCTACAGCAGTAAAATGCAACATTAATTCAGCAGCAATATTAATCCAAAAACATCATATATGACTTGTTTATTTGTCGCATGTAGTTTAATGAGAAAGTCTGTAACTTTCTTTTAAGGCACAACAGCCAGTTCAGAACAGGGCAATGCCAAACTGGCCGGGTAGAAAGTTAATTTTAGAAGGGGCACTATAGCAACACGGCTGGGCATCCACGGCACTGGCCGTTTTGATTCTCAATCTGATCATAACACATCCAAGCAAGTGTTGTCACTGTTTTGATGTGGGCAATAAATAAATAATGAGCGGGGTGATCACAAACCGTCCACAGTGTATGAGAGGGAGGCTGCAGCTTGTAGCCTGGTAGTGTAATATTGTACTAAACAAAGTGAAGGCACATTGCTAGAAAACGGACTTCTCCATCTTCAAACACACATCACTGTTTCTGCTGGCTGCTCATAGTTGAAAAACCCATGAGTCCTTGACTCGTCGTTGTCAGTTCTTCAATTAAAGTGATGTGAGAAGTGAAGCACAGCAGCAGTTGCTTTTATCTGTGTATCTTTCGCTCATTCATCTAACTAGATTCAATTGTCGATTTCCTCCCTTGAACACTGTATGTTTCATGGGTTCCACAAAATACATTTTGTGTCAAACTACAGTCAATAGCACACATTGACCCGCTGTTTCCCACGCTGTGTGTATGCAGTACTTACGAGAGTGTCCTCTCCAGCCTGCTGCCGGCCGAGCCGATGATCTCCCCCAACGTACAGAACATCTGGCCCAGGAAGTCCTTCACAGAGGACACCAGCACACAGTTAATACTGCACAATACAGTCCAAACATGCAACTCAGCATCACTGTATCATTACCGTTACTGGAAAATACTGAAGCTGATATTTTATTAATATCAATGCTCAAATGAACGTTGTACAGTACAAGTATATTTCTATTTTCATTATACAGATTTTATAATTTATGAGCCACTATGGTTTTATTTGAAAACCATTCCCAGAAAATCAGAAAAGGAAAATGTGAGTTAATGTGCATTTCCATCCATTTGTTATACAAATATAAGAAGCAGGGCACATTGTGATAAACAGTTGGTGGTTCTATTTGTCCAGTTTAGTACCATTAAAGTTCCAGTGTGTAACATTTAGGAGGATCTATTGTCAGGAATGGAATATAATATTCATACGTATGTTTTCATTAGTGTATAATCACCTGAAAATAAGAATAGTTGTATTTTTGTTACTTTGGAATTATGCTTTTATTTCTGCTGTTTCTACAGCAGAAACACTGGCTCTAGATAGGGCCGTTAGCGTTTTTCACGTATTTCACAGCCGCAGTAGTTTCTCCTACACGCTTGAAAGGGGAGGGTGGAGCGGGGGAGTGGCAGTCTGCAACTACACTAGATGCCATTACATCCCACACACTGGTCCTTTAAACCCTTGCAGAATAGAGGACACCACAGGATGACATACTTAAAAGAGATCTAGTCAGACATCAACTTATGTTAATCCATGTGGAAAACATGATAATATATTGCTAATATAATGTTATGAAATATTCACTATGTCAGTTTCCACTGCACTTTTGCTATTAACTAATTAATTATAACTTGCGATATTTTACCTTTTTAAACCAAATGTTTGGTGTTTTGGCGCCAAAATTGAATGGCATATAAAATTGAATGTATATAAAAATCAATAGAAAATAGAAACCAACTCAACTCATCCTCCGCTTCCAAGTGTGTAGTAATGACACTGAACCTTTAACTAACAACACATTTAAAGGTCCAGTGTGTAACATTGAGGAGGATCTATTGTCAGAAATGGAATATAATATTCATAGGTATGTTTTCATTAGTGTATAATAACCTGAAAATAAGAATTTTAAGAATAAGAATAATTTATAATGAGCTGTTTTTATCTAGGGAGGGAGCGGGTCCTCTTCTATGAACTTCTATGCTTCTACAGTAGCCGAGACCAGACAAACCAAACACTGGTTGCACTGCTACATGCTACTGAATCCTACACACTGGTCCTTCATTTAAAGGAGGCGTTTTGGGGTAATAGTTAAATGTGCTTAAAACATAAACTACAATAATAATATGAAACATTTTCCCATACTTAATAAACAACTTAACTTCTTGTAAAAAAGCATTTAATTCAATTTGTTATTAGTGACAGTTATTTACTAGAGTGTGTGTAATGCATGAGATAAGGTTGTGAGCGAGCTGTCAGTAAAATGTGCTGAAATGAACAGGTGACTCAGACAAAGACGTAACATTCTGTTGTGGGATTTTGAGCCGTAGTCTCAGAGAAGAGCAGATCCACTGACAATCCAGCCCAGATGGTCTATTATCTGCAGAACCGTGACACTCCCTTCATTATTATATAAATCAATTAAGCAATCATGGAAACACAATGAAAGGTCATCCAGCTGTATGTTAAACACATTATAAGACCTCCTCAGCTCAGTTGGGGAAATGTCCAGCAGATAAGGAGAAAAGGAGAAATGAAATAAAGTTATGCAATGTGACGGCCACCTACCTTCTGCTCATCCAGGCAGGCAGGCAGGCAGTAAGGAAAGGCAGACACAAGTTAGAGGGAAAGCTGGAAAGACACAATGAAAACACTTTGAAATTGATATTAAAAAGGTAATGCTATATTCCTCGTAAAAAATAAAAACACTGAGGTGATGTCAAATGCTTTTAACATGAATAATTACTATAATAAAGCACTGCTTGTTGTATCTAAATTAAAACTGAAGTTATCCTTTAATATATACTTTCTTTCAATGACAAAGTCTGCATAGGCAGGAGGATGGGTAAAACAAACACAGGACTTTGCTGTTCCAGTTCAACTTATTTTAATATTTTAAGTTATGTATTAACTTTAGTAATGTACTCAACTTATGTCAGGTACGTAACGTAAAATCTTTCCCCGAACCGAAACAGACTGCGACCGGAGCTAGCTTTATTTTGACATTGCTTGTTTGTAATTGCTATCTTGACCTTGGACACATTTAGGTGAGGCAAAATGTGACATTACCGCGCTGTGTTTATTACGTTTCTTATGTTTGATACTGCACTGACGTTTACTTTTTATGACACAGTTAGCTATAGCTATAGGTAGCTAGCTGATAAGGTTGGTTCTCAGTATGTTCACTGTAGCTACCTGTGCTAAGCTAGTCCTCTTCATTTCATCACTAATGCTACACATACATCCTAACCCTGGACATACATGGACATGCCCAATTAATATCATATAAGTAGAGACTGTGATGAGGAAAATATAATAATAAGACATTTTTGGTGGGCAAAGGGGAATAGACTGAATATTGACCGTGTGCTTAGACCAAAAGGTTTGAGTTAAACAATGAAAATGAAACAAGCTAGCTTAGCATATAGCTTATATTTTACCAACTTATTAGATCTTTAGGGAAACTTATAAAGATGTATTTCTTTCTACATATATTATGGAGCTAAGTGTCACTTATTCATGTATTCACTTATATTTTTGACTCAGCTGATGATGTTTTACCGCCTCCTGTCAGCTTGAATACCAGTTCACGTCATTGTGGAACATATTAATAGGATTTCAAGGGTTTCTTACATGTTTTGAAAGGTTGGAGCTCCTGGTATCCACATTGTACCTGCAATTTAACAGAAAACAGCAAACGTTAGGGGTTTTCCTTCACACACTGCTATTACCTTACAACATTATCAGACTTGGAATTAAGCCATTTTTAGGGCAAGGCCACGTTGGCCTTTGATAAGTACAAATTTATTGGGGCATTGTGGCCAAAATGCCAAAATGTATGGCATCAAGGCCGAACAGTACATTGTATATAAAAAACACTAGCTCAACCTTAATGCAGCAGTAAAATGCGACAGTAAAGCAGCAGTAATATTAATCCAAAACATAATTTATAATAATATAACACTGACAGGGACCATTTTACTGCACAATGACTTCTTTAAGTAGATTTTGCTAGAATATTTTTTACCTTCGTAAGGTTTACAGTTTTTCTATCATTGACTAAACTAACTAAGTCTGCATACATTAGCTAGTTGGTACTAGCTAGCTTTTCTTTCTTTTTTTGCTGTTGCAGAAAAACTAAAAATACAAAATGTGATGGATCACATTAATTTGACCCGCGACTCCCGGGTCCGAAACACATTTGTGAGACCTAATGGGTTATGGCTATTTTAGCCTGACTTGGCACACCAAAGACGCTAACAATGTTAACTTTCTGAACGTCTATGGTTACAAATATATTTGTGGCAGAAATCTCGTGCTACTGTTGATGTCAAAGCGTCACTTTGTTTATTCTCCGCCACATCTGGCCATGGTATAATTCATGCTCTGCATCATGCAATGACATCCAAATAGGAAAAGCAGAGAGCACCACCCTAAAGAAAGAAAGCAAACTTAATTTGACAAGTAACAAATGGCAGCTCTCCTGGGAATACAATATTCATAATAAATTCAATTATTAGATATCATTTACATAGGAGGGATGAGTCAAGAGTGATGGAAAATAAAATGAACAATGACAGTGAACTGCATCTGCAACGTGCACACTGAAGTCTTCTCTGGCAGATATGTTGCTTTTCTCTTGTTCGTAGGGCTACTCTCTCTCTCTCTCTCTCTCTCTCTCTCTCTCTCTCTCTCTCTCTCTCTCTCTCCAAGCACTTCCTCTTAAGAGCTGTCACCAGGGGCCTTCTTTGAAAAGGATTTTGTTTGTGTTTGACAAAGGAAATCCACTCGTGTGCCGAATAACATTACACAGAGATCATGTATTCTTCAGCTCCTCATCTCTCTCCAGATCTCTCTGTCTCTCTCTCTGCCATCGCTCGTCAGCATCTTTCTGAAGTCTGCTGAGAGGGTGAAGGATGACACTGAGCTCTGCACAGTCTTTTCACCTGTTTTTTGATCTCTCTCCACTTCAGTTACAGAGCCACTTATTTAATCTGACAGTAATTAACACCCTCATTCCTGCAGGAGTCCCAAGCCTGCCTAGAGTAGATGGAGCATGGAAATACATGAAGGGGTTGTAAAAGGAATTCTTTATTGACTCAGCGGAGGAACCGCACTGTACTGAGATATAGTTATTTCAGCTTTATTAAAAGATGCACTGTAGATCTCAGCGGTGTTCGGTTCTCAAGACAGCAGGCTGGATGGGAGAGATGAGTGAGAAAGCCCTTAGGAGCGGCTGCTCCCCTGTTGGCCAGGGGTGAAAGCAAAGCTAAGACAATACAATATGACTTAAAACATTTCAATAGCTTTAAACAGTTGGCACAAAACTTCCCCGGTCACTGAAGTTTTTCATACACTTTTTTACACACACAGCATTTTTTGCATTTCAAAGTGAAAGAATAGTTTGTAAGAGGTGGTGGGAAGTGTTGGGAGGACAGTTTATGTCCCAAGCTCCTCTGCATTGTTCTCCATTCTCTCCTCTGTCTTTAACAACTGCCTTTCCCCTATTCCCCAATATTAGTTTTTACTTATTTTTCTCCTTTTTATATTCTTCAATGATACTTGTCTTCTAAAACTTACACATTTGAAAATGCAATTTCCAAGAACTGTACCTGCAAACTCTTCAATGGCAAAATGCTTTCACTGAACATTCAAAAAGTCAAGACAGAGTTCATTTATTTTCTTCCAATATCCACACCTAACATTGAAATCATAATAAACATTTTTATTGCTATGTTCCAGGAACTCTTTGGCACTTAAGTTTAGAGAAAAATACTTTGTGATCCCCTGACCTTTACTCTAGTGCCACAATGAGGTTGACATTTGTGTCAAATTTGTTTTGAGTGAAATGTCTATTGGGTGGCAGTTTGGTATAGACATCCATGTTCCCCACACGATGAATTGTAATAACTTTTTATCTTGCTAAGGTTATATCTTCAATTTATTCAATACTCCCCCCATCCTCTGTATGTACATGACATGGTTCGGTCCTGCCACCAAAGCAAAAGAAAGAGAGAAGAGAGAAAACAAAGGGAAACAGTATGTCACCCAATTTTTCACAAAGAAAGGTGGGTGTAGTCTGTGAGCAGTGGAAATTAACCTGTCAGCTCAGTCTACAGTGAAATCGCCTACTTTTGCTATTAGTTACTTAATATCTTCACAGAAAATTCTGTGAAGTGTTTACATTTCACTCTTTTAGCTGACATTTAATCAGTACAGGTGAACTGTTGGCAGCTATTTATACAAAATAGTATAAATAATAATATAGTAATGCATGTTACTAACTTCACTTCTTCCCCGGAGTTGTGCTTTCTCGTCTCGCAGGTTCTCATGGATCCTGGTGGAGCCTCCTGCCATGGTCCTGCTTGACTGCCATTGCTAATATCACTGATATTATTATTATTATTATTATTATTATTATTATTATTATTACTACTATTATTACTACAGTTACTATTATTACTATTGTCACTGCTCATTGTTGTAGTCGCCATCATCTTTTTCATGTTCATCATCTTCAGTCACTACTATCAGTGTACTAGTTGTTGCTACTGTTGTTGCTGTGCACCTCCGTCTGTCTGTCTGTCTGTCTGTCTCTCTCTCTCTCTCTCTCTCTCTCTCTCTCTCCTCACACCCCAACTGGTCGAGGCAGACGACCACCCACCTGGAGCCGGAGGATCTGTCCTAGGTTTCTGCCTTTTAACAGGCAGTTTTTCCTTGCCCTTGTCGCCAAGTGCTTGCTCATGGTGGTACTGTTGGGTCTCTGTAAATAATGTTATAAAGAGTTCGGTCTGGACCTACTCTATTTGAAAAGTGTCCTGAGATAACTTCTGTTATGAATTGGCGCTATACAAATAAAATTGAATTGAATTGAATTGAATTAAATCATATGCCAGGTGCCAGGACAGTAGATGCAGCTTCAGGCTCATCATGCCTGTCTCTCCATCCCTGTACCCTATCAATGAACCAGCCCTAAGGAGGTGAACAGCATTGTGTTGAATGACATGTCGGTTAGCATAACTGCAAGTGGTCTGTGGAAACTTTTTTTTGTTATTATGAGACACATAACAAAATCCTTTTCAGGGATAATGATCATCATATAAAACAAAAGCAGCCTATAATCGGTGATTCAGTCTGCATTAAAGTGACTTTTGTTTGTTAAATCATTTTATAGATGATAATGTTGATTTGTTTTAAGTGAAGAAGTTAATGTGTATTTTAGTTATTCATTAATGTTGAGAGAATTTTTCCATTCAAGAATTCTACTATTGAAATTACATTTAGACTGTAAAAGATGGCCTTCAGCACATTTCTTACAGAGGCTACCAGTGTTGCATTATATATTGAATTCCAGTATGCAGAATGTTGCATGCATCTCTGCACAGGGTTATATTTTCACAGCTCACTGTCAGTAAATATCCTACATAAGTATTAGACTACAAGAGAGTTGCAATGGGTCCATTGGGTCCTGGAGGTATGGTTTCAGCAATTTCGGAGTGGTGGCTTGGCAGTGGGGTCCAATTTGATATTTTTTCATGGGGTCTAAAATACCTGGCAGCTCCCCTGCTCCAAACCATTCACCTCAACCTCCTCACTATTACTTAACTTGGGTATAACATCTTGAATTGGTTGAAATGCTGTCAACAAACTATAGACCTTTTTCACAGCAACCAATTTTAATTTACGTTTCTTCTTTAGAAAAAAGGTTTTAGAAACAAAAAAAAATTGTATTCAACAATTGTTCACAGTGAGCTGTGAATCCAGTTTGTCAATTTTTGGAAGCTTGAATATGCAATTGAAAATATATATACATTTTTTTTTTTTTCATTTCTTTGAGATTTCTGAACAATTTTTGAAATATAAAATGTTTGTTTCAAAACTTAAAGATTCAAGTTTCTCTAAAGAAGAAAAGTAAATTATTATTAGTTGTTTCAAAACATAAGAGTTTGATTTTGACTTGAAAGTTGAAACTTGATGAGTTTTCTCAATTGTTTTACAGCACACTGGAATGGCTCTGCTACACTGAATGAAACTGAGCACTGGTACTGGTAATTATTGTTATTAACACTGGTAAAACCTGTGTCTACCCTACTATTACATATCATAATGGCTGCTGAGAAAATAGTCTTCCTCCAAAAAGTATTTGGCAGACACAAAATGTGTGTAGTATTACTGTAAAAAACATTTTGTAGAATAGGGTTCCTTTACCACCTCTCCACCTATTCTTTCTCTGCTCTACTTTGATGTTTTCCTTCATCCTTCCTTCCTGCTCTTAATGTTTAATCCCTTTACTCTCCTCGACACTCGGCCTTGTAGCCCTGTGATGGACAGCTGAAGGTTCTGAATGCTCAGAAGAGAGACCGACCCAGCAAGCGTAGCAGCGTGACGGGGCTGACAACTGTGTGACGAACTGACCAGCACGCCAGGCATCAGGAAAAGCTGGGAATGCAAGTTTCAGAATTTTTTTTAACACAAAATTGTGCAAGCACCACCCCAATTTTTCTATCCACGCCAATTGAGAGTGCATAAAATGATGGAGTTGTTTTGGAAAATGAATATGACTCCAGTACCCACTAAAATCACTTTGATTGTCTGCTGCTTTCTGGGTTTCATTTATTCTCAGTTCAGCATACGCCAAGTGTAGGGTTATAGGGCTTTGAAGAGGGAAGTAAA